TGAGAAATGGAAAAAATGGAAATAAAGTCTTTGTAAATAGGGAAGGGTGGAGGGGTTGAAGGGAGGGCTGGGCAAGGGTGAAAAATAAGAACCAAGAGAGATTATGTAAAGGTACAATTCCCAAGGAGAAATGCAATTGTGTTGTATACCTAAAATGTACCAATAAAAGAATTTAACAAAAAAGAAAGACTATTGGAGGTAGCTAAAAAAGGAGAGGTGAGGAAAATTGTTCCAAGCAGAGAAACAAACATGTGAAAGTCCTAGTGGAAGAAAGAATCTTGCAGTTCTGAAATTAAAAGAAATCTAGTAAAGCTGGAGCTCCAAACATGAAGCATAGAAGGGGAAAGATTAATTTAGAGAGATGGATGGAAGGTTATATAGAGTCATGACCAAGAGTTTGGAGTTTTCAAATCACTCCAGGAATTGGATGTAACAACAAAAAAAACCATATTAACTTGCTAGTATTTTTTGTAGAAATTTATATGCAGGGATTTTAATTGAAAAAAACGTACAATGGCCTTCAAGTACAAAAGGTCACATTCAAATGGAAATGCTTCAGATTCATCAAAGTGCTCACATTTTATCTTGACATACTTTTAAGTTTATTGATTGTATTATATTGCTTTACTTATATTTTCCCATTGCTTGTTATTTTATTACAAGTATCAAGTATAAAGTACAAGAATTTATGCATTACATTTGTTTCTGGATATTTAAGTAATATCATATGGAAAATATCTAACATAAATTAAAGCTGTCCTTATAGATATTTAGAATTTCTGTTTGTTTGCTTTGGTTTTAGTATTCAGTAGGCCTGCTTCAAAATGACTGATAACACAGGCCCAACTTAATCTTTTCATGAGTCAGATGAATAAACTGGGGATCTGCTGTGGATGAAAACATCTTCCCCAAATAACAATTCTATGTGCCAAAAGCCTAGTTGAATGATGTGGATCTATGATTTAAGGTTATCTTTTCCCATGATGTCCTCTATTTACATGCATTTACATGTATTCCCGTGTGTCCACATGTGTGCATGTATGTTAGAGAGAAAGAGGGAAAGAGACTATATGCAAATGGTTACGTGCACATCTCTTACTTTTATCAACCAAGACACTACTTGCAGTAAAACTATGAGAAAAATAGGTTCAAAGCCAAGAATGATTTCCTTACTAAAAATATACATGGACTCATTTGTGACTTAAAATGTTTGGCCAATTGTCAATATAAAAGCATTGAAATATTTTACACAAAAACAATATGCAGTGAACAGAGTATATAAAAATAGTATGTTTGAGTAAGTTTTTATAATCCTGCTCACTGTGAGATGTGGGTAAGCCACTTAATCCTTCTGCATCTTGATTTTGTTATACACAAAATAGTTATACTGATAGGCTCATGAGATTGAAATGAAGATCAACCTGCATAATATGAAAGTATCTATTGAACATAGAATTATCTGGGCATGGTGGGACGTGGCTATAATCTCAGCTACTCAGAATCCTGGAGCATGAGGATGTTGTGTTTAAGGCCAGCCTGGATAACTTTGTGAGAGTTTGTCTCAAAATAAAATTGTAAAAACTGCTGAGAATTTAGCTCAGTGCAGGAGCCCCGAGTCTGTGCAAGCCTCCGAGTTCAAGCCTCAGCAACACAAAAAATTGTATTTAATTATTAATTATTACTAAACTTTTATTAATGTACTTATGAAATTATTATACAAAGCACTTTCAAATAGAATATATTAATTTTCACTAGAGAATTCTGATGTACCAATTTTACATTGACTATTAAGTGCATAGAAGAATTAAAATGAATTTCAATATGGCTTAATCCCACTGCCATTTAAATTGTTCCAGAGGATAATAAAATGAAATCTCTCATTTTGTTGGTGAAAGGAGTAAAATACTGATACATACATTTAGTAACCTTGCACATACAAGAAAACTACAAATCAATCTCATAAATATGGATGGAAAATTTCAAACTATATTACAAATCAGATTCAAGTTACACATTAAAAATAAAAAGCAAGAACGATATCATTAAATGAGATTTATTCCAGAGATCAGAGGATGATATAATATTAAAAACTGCATTATCTGCTGTTCAAATAAATCTAAGAAAAAAATCAAAAGCTTTTCCCCATGGATGCTGAAAACAGGCTGTACAAAATTTAATACTATAATGTAATATGATATAAAACACATATAATGAACATATAGCACAGAAACCAGTATTATGCATACACACACACACACACACACACACACACACACTCACACTGAGGGAAATCTGTCATAACTTAATTAGGAATACCACATTCAAAACCTATATAAGAGGGCTGGGGATTTAGCTCAGTGGTTCCACCACCTGCCTTGCAAGACCAAGGTCCCGAGTTCAATATCCGGTACAAAAAACAAAAACAAAAAACAAAAAAAAATCACACAAAGACTAAATTCAAAATGGGCATCTGAAATGAACAGACATTTCTCAGGCAAAGAAGTAAAAACAGCAAATAAACATGAAAAATTGTTCAACATCACTGGTCATT